CAATAAGCAATCCTGAAAAAATATTTGGGGGTGCTTAACTTTTTTCCAGGTGTATATCTATGACAATGGGTTTATATACTATATATCTATGACAATGGGTTTATATACTAAATATCTTTGATGGCTGTTTTATATACTAAATATCTGTGACAACAGATTTATATATTAAACATCTTAGATGACTGGTTTATATACTAAATACAATATAAAATATAAAGAGGGAAACATTGTGCAATAAACTTTATTTAAAACTACAGACAAAAGAAAATTTACATTACACAATAAAACCCACTGTTCGCATAGATTTTTACTCCTGATGATGGTAGCAGAAGCTACCAAAACATGTAGAGTCATTTATAATTTTTTTAAATTTGATTGTGTAATGCAAACTATGTTTAGTTTATATACTGACAACAGGTTGATGAGTTATCCATCTAACAAGCAACATTCATACAACACAATTGGTTATAAACACTTAACTATTAAGATTTTTTAATTAAAGATTTGTTTCATTTTTTTTTTCAGAATGTTGACTATCCAACATGCAAAGTAATTTTGATTTTAAGACTAAAAATACTTTTCTTTATCTGAAAATTGTCAAGTTTCATTTGCATAACCTCTATAACCTTTTAAATATCTATCAAACTACTTTTTAAAAAAACTTTATATTTTATCTGTTAGTTTCTCTAACTTAACTCTATACAGGTTTGGTCAATTTCACAAACCTTGTGACCACCATAAAAAATTAGAAAATACATTTAAATTATGCTTTTTTTGTTCCAGAATGACTACAATTTGTAACATGAAACCACAAATGTTTATTCCAAATAGCTTATATCTTGTAACATTAAACATCTATTTATATTTGTTATTTTTGTTTTATTGACCTTTTAGCCATATCTGACTAACAATAATACCACTAGCCTTTACAAAGTGCAACTATATTAGCTTTGTACAACTAGTTCACCAGTATTTTGTAAAATATAATCACAGTTTAATTATAATACACTACATATGTATATATATTATTACTAATTTATAAAAAAAGTTCTTCAATTTCAATTATTTTTCTTAAAACATAGAACAGTAAATAAAGAAGTAAAGAAAAAATTTATCTCTACTACTTACCACTGTTAATGTTACAAAGTTTGAACTCGCTTACCATACTTTGCTAAGCCTTGTTGAATTTCACAAGTCAAGGATGTAAAACAAAATAATGTTTTTAAGTTTTACACATGCATTTTTAAATAAAAAAATTATAAGTGACTATATCAATACCACAGAATTCCACTGTAATTTATCAGGCTTACTAACTCAGCTATATCTGGGAAAAAAACAAGTATAATATACAATCACCATTTTGTCTACCCTCTACTCTTAGACCTTGGAAACAAAAAGACTATTTTTGGTGCCTGGATATCTGAATATGACACAAGAATTAGCTCTTAGTTATCGATCTTGACATCCAGTATCGAAAGGATGTCTGTCACATGCAATCAATTCCCCCAACCGTGAAATAGCCCGAGACCATCCAAATGGCAATAACAAATTCGTAAGAAGAGAGGACAATGGATAGCCAAGGACCAAACTGGAAAAATCCCATGTACCACTTCTGTGACCCACAACACAGACGGAGGAAATCAAGGGAGGAAGATAGACAACCCAAAACCTGTCTGAGGACTTATATTGATTGGTTCAATCTAAATCCAAAACCTGCCCACAGGGTACCGACATCCACATGAGGGTACGATGAGAGCTACCAATCAAAAGGGTGAACTACCTTATGATCTCTCTCTATTGTCATTGGTTATCGCAAATAGGAGAATATCATATCATCTACACCCGCAGAACACCACCACCCTGCTTTGTAACTAAATGGTTATTGTAGGAACTCATTTAGTAAGGTGCCTCCATAGTCAACCACCCCAGTGACTTGAACAAAAAAGTGGTAAGAACTCCCATACTCCACTCGAAAAACAAGAGGGTGACAGTGCGGTGGAAAGTCCGAAAGAATGTCATCACCTGAGACAGTGCAATGGGTAACTACGGAACCTTATTTTGAAAGGAAGACCATACCAAGTTATCCACTCCAGGCATGGTAGGGATGAGCATGTTTATGAAGCAAAATATCACGAGGTAATGCATCTACAAGTGATCTTGTGGAACACCCCATTTCAACGATGAGCGTGCAAAGTCATAGAAGATAATGTGCAAGTCAACATGGCTAGACAGTGTGGATTTCGAGTTAAAGAATAACTGATCAGGCACCACTCGCCACAGAGCAAAAACCATATAGGAATGAGGAATGAGGTGATTAATATGTGCCACCCCTGTAAAATTGTCGGAAAAAAAAACCATCAACAGAGAATGTCGGGCAAGAAGAAGGAAGTGATTCAACACCCAACGAACAGCGAGAAGTTTAATAAAATTGATATGCAAAGCACCTTAATCCAAATACCAAAGACCCAAAGCTTCCTGATGGTTAGCCCATGCACCCCAGCCAAGCAGGGATGCATCCATGAAAGGATGTAGAACCAGACTTGGTGGAGAAAGTGGCACACCCACTGAAGTATGTGCCTCGTCCAATCACCCAAGCAGATCTTCTCACCTGGTAAGAGGAAGAGTAATGGGAAGATAAAGAAGATCTCGTGCAAGGTACTACAGATTGGGAAGAGCCCACTGAAGGGATCTCATATGGGCATGACCGAAAGGGGCCAGCGATGTCACTGAAGACCACATTCCCAAAGGCAATAGAAAATCGCAAGCAATAAGTAATAAAACCGAGAGGGTGTGGCAAACTAACCAGTCCATATAATGAAATCAGACAGGAGAAGACTGGGCCCCAATTGATAGGAGTGTTGAAAAAGACCCCCAAGAGTTCGAAATATTGAGTAGGTGTGAGGAAGGACTTAACCAGTTTGATTAATCAGCCCACTTGAGCAGCTACTGAAGGAAGCTGACGAGTATGGCTGGCCAACTCCGGTTCAGAATGAGCCAGAAGAAGCCAGTCGTTCATGTACGAGAGAAACTCAACCTGAGAGCATGAAGATGTCAAGCAAATGCTTGGACTACCCGACAGAAAACATAAAGAGGCATAAGGACCGAAGCAAATCCAAATGTTAGCACACGTGATTGATAAACCACTCCAAGATTGACTAACCAAAGATAAGGATGGGACTGAGAAAATATAGGTATATGGAGATAAACCTTGGTTGGATCCATTTTGGTCATCTATAAACCCAGAGAAAACGTCTACATCTGGGTAAGAAAAGACTCCATGGTAAACTGGGGCAGATGATAGAAACTGTTGAGGTGAAATAAATCTAGAAGCTGACTAGTCACAGGATTCTGAGGAGGAGAGAAATAAATGGAGAAAGGAAACTCCGATTATGGAGAAAGGAAGGGGATCACGAATCCTTCTGACAAAACTGGAAAAACTCTTGATCCATCGATGAAGGAATCCCAGCGATAAGAAATCGACAGGTGGAGCACCCATCAGACCAGAACCCAATGGGTAGTCAATGGTACAGGTGGCGACTTGATGTGTGTTGTCGGAAAAACAAATAACGAGAAGAGTCGCCCCAAAATAAAGAAGGGACAGGTAAGGGTTAGGAAGGGATTGGAAACAGTAATAGGAGGCATATGGGGCTCTGACTGAGATAAACGTGCAATGATATTGGTAAGGGTATATTGTTGTTGGACAGATGCCATCCGTGACTCTATTGCTTCTGGGATTGCATCAAAAATGGGGCCATATGTAAATCCCTAAGCTAAGTTGATGGTAAATGGATCTAAGCCAAATTTGCGTCACGACCTAAAAGGTCCAAATAACAGAGAAACCAAATGCTCAAAGCCAGAGCCAAAGACGACAAATGAGTTAGTGTGGAGGAAAGAAGGGAAAGGATATGATCTCGTAAAAGTTGTAAGTGTAAATGGGGGGGATGCCAAGGCATGCTAAACCCTTTGCAAGGTAAATTAATCAGCATGCACCCAAATATCAGTCATGTAATAAGGAATGACTTGGCTCATAAGTAATAGGAGAAAGGGATAAAATGTCACATACCTGAGAAACAAATCCAAAAAGGCTGAGTAGGTCTAACTGATCGTTCAGGAGAGGAATGGGAAGGTACGGTAAAACCAGGAGGCAGAAATAGATGTTCGAAGTCCCTGTCAATCTGAACAGGCTCTGCCTTTTGGAGAGGAATCGGGGTGAGGTCTGAGGACAAAGATTGGCCCGTGTAATGTTTGATTTCCTGGCAGTTATAAAGGCAGAAAATTCCACTGTTGGGTCACCCACACCTGAGGCCTGAGAAATAACACAAGTCGCTGGTGTGACCCCGAAGTGGGAACAAGAACTTCAAAATCCACAGTTCACCAAATTCGAGCAGTGAAAACAGAATAATGTGATGGAAACTAACTAAAATAATTTGTTAAATTGAAGAAACAGTTGTAATGAAAACTAAATAAATTAAAGAAAACTTAAGCAGAACATGAATCTTTAAACAAACAAGAAGCACATATGAACACAAGCACTGCCAAATGAGAAGTGATAGTTCAGTAAAGGAGTAATAGAGAGAATCACATGTGTCACGTGAGCATGTTATGCTCCTATTGGTGGTGAAGTGACGCGCAGAATGATTTGCATGAGACACACATTGGAATCATTCAATTCCAACAGAGGAGAGCAGATGACTTGTGGCATGCGTAAAGAAAAAGTTTGCATATAGAGAATAGCACTGACCAAGAAGAGCTAATTTTGTGAGAGATGGTAAGTACCGTATTGGAAAAGATAGGAGGTTCTTATTATATATTCTAGCTTGTCAATATCAGTAATCTGAGTTTCTAATTCATAAGAAACTACAGCAGTTGTATCGTGAACCACATAAAATGTAACCTGATTAAATATACCATGTGACACAATAATTCATATTTAGGAATTTTGTTTTAATATTTACTTTTATATTAAGAAATTAACTAATGTATAATACTAAAAATTGAATTCTAATCTATAATCTAATACCTAACTTATTAACAAACATAGTAGTTCAATAAAATTTTGAATGTAAGTCTACAAACATCATGATATGCCGTATGAACCTTACCTGTATGAAAACCAATAGGGATAGAGGTGAATATATGTCATTTATAAAACAGAATTTATTAAAGAAACAGCAGCAGTTTATATTTTAAAATATTGAGCATCATTATCTGCTATATTTTATATGAGGATTTATGCTTTTGAAAACTTATAAAGTAGCAAACTGTTTTCACAATGTTGCAGAAATATATGCACAACTTTTATTAAAACATAAGTTCCAGCATAAATAATATGTTTACATTTTCTACTGTAATCATTTGTAATTTAAGTTATCTTATAAATAAAAAAATATGCAACTGATATATAATTTTAGACTTGTTAGATGTGTTGTCACAGATCTGTCGCAACATTCCTGCAACTTTAAACGTGTGGAAATTGACAGATTTTGTTTTGTAAAAAAGAGAAGGTGAATTTGTGGGTATTTTGACTCCATTTAGTTGAAGACAATTGAAAGTGAAGCTATTGCAGTATTGATCTGTCCAGTGTCCACCAACAATTCTTTAAAGCCTCTTTCCCACTACACTTTTCAACACAGAATTTTGAAACTTTGTACAATGAATTTATGAGCAAAAGCCTACATACAATAATATGTTTTTAGATTTCTGAAAGTTTGATTTTGGAATTTTTGAAATTGACATAAGCTATATGATGTGGATATCTTCAAAGTCTATCTTCAACAGTTCTTAATGCATATGTTAATTTTGGGTTTAACATGTAACACCTCATAACAGAAAAATGTCAATCGTTGTTCATATTAGTTTTGGATTGCAAATTTTTAACTCTAAATATAGGATTTAGAGTTTAAAATAACTGAGAATGAAGAGAAATAACTATTTCTCTTCATCCCACCCAAGGTTATATATTTATCAAAACTATTTGAAAAAAAAAAAGTAATCATAATGATGATACTGTCCACAACTGTGTTGTGTTGAGCCATCTCAAATCAAAGGGATAGCAAGGAAGTTAGAAAAGCATTCAATATGTAGATCCAATGCCATCAATTTAGATCTGGGAGACTCCAAGAAAACCTAATTTCACTGATTGAGCCTTCTTTCTAGTACGTATTTATGTATTTTCTTCACAAGTTCCCATGATTTGGAAGTATTATTATGCTTGTGAGTTGGAACTATTATACTGATTGCTTTGTTAATTGCTAATAGTATTTTTTTGGAATAGTTTTCTATTTCTGTGGAAATGCTCGTTGACCCTAGTTGTTGGGTCAAGAAAGAATAAATTATGTTTTTAAGTTTATCCCAGTCTACACTGTTGAAATCAAATACAGAGTTTGAGAACAATTTGTTGCTTCTGATGATGTAAGGAATTATAAAAGATATGGGGTTGTGAACCCCTCCTACGTTTTCATGAACTTGAAATTTTGTTATATTGTTGAACAGTTTAGGTGAAACTATCACCAAGTCTAATATATCTTGAGTTCCAGTTGTGTGTGTGTGAGTGGGGGTACTATCATTAATAATAATAGGTTGTTATTTTCAACAAATGAATGTCACATTTTCCCATGATTAGTGACTGAACATTTAAACTATGTATGTTTTGTATTTAGAATGCCAAGAATTAGGGTTCTAGAGTTTTGTTTGATAACTGTCTGCTTGAGGATATCAGGTTTTGTTGATGGTGAAGTGTACATAGGTAGGCTGAGATACACGACTTAAAAAGACAAGTCAGATGCATAACAAATAGATTCTACAACTAGTATTAATCTGGTAAACTCGAAAGTACCAAAATCAGCTGGGATTTTTTGAGATATAAATTATAAAATTTCTAAATTTTTAATACAATGACATAGAAATTGTCTTCCAGTTAATAATTTTCAAAGGTTTCATTATTTCGTGTTTGTTGCACAAACCTGCTTTCAGACCCACCCAAAAGTAAAGAAAAAGCACTACAGAGGACTAGGTGGCAAAATTTCTGAAACATGCTCCCAACAAGCCAAAAGAAACAGGACATATTTGAAGTCAATTATTCTAGTGTTTAAATTCATAATGAATGTTTCCCTTAAATTGTGTCACTATTTAATCAAAAATTATGTTCCTAAAATAACATATATAATGCTTGATATTATGGAGAAACCAGCTTCAAGCTTGAAAATATCAGCAAATGGAAAATTACTAAGAAAAAAGGAAGAGTGATGTACAATGACTAGGGAAAATAATGTACATAAAAAATTAACTGCTTACTTTTGTTCAGTTTTTGAATAAGTGTTATTCGTCCATAGTTCCAAGCTCTTTTCCTCAAAACTGCAAAGAGAATAAGGAGTAGACTAAAAAAAAGAACCTTAAATTATCAGTAAAATTATGGATTTATATTAAGCAAATTTAGGTTGAGAACTAAATGGTTTTCTGTTGAAATAAAATCTCATTTTACATATTAATTGTTTAACATGCAAATAAGTGATTGAATTGTGTAGATTATTTTGTGTTTGATAGTTTAGTTTTTTAATTCATAGAAACCATTCACAATGAGCTCTAGCCATGAAGGAAAAAAAAAAGAGTTAAGCTATTACTGATATATCACACATCAATGCATGTTGGTAAATACCTGAATTATTATTTGGAATATAATTATACACAGTTTATGTGTACATGTCTTCTGATCGTTATACCATAAAAAGTGTTTTATTTTCATTCTAATCACATGGCTACTGTTACAAGGTAAATCAAATAATTGCAATAATTGATTCTTCTCAAACAGTGTAATACTTTTTGTAAAACTCTCAATTATATGGCTCCTGAGCCGGTTTCACAAGTGGTAATACTACTCTTTATTAAACCCTTAGTTATCATTAATCACAGTAGCTCTTAGTATGTAGGGAAAAGTAAAAAAATGGCTGAAACATATTATGTATTGCTCATCATAGTCTCAAAATCTCTCTGATAACAAGCTAAGAGACTTTTATAAACACCTAACTTAGGTTTTTGAGGTTTTCAAAAGCTATTAAGACCTTCAGTTTAGCCAAAAAATATTGCTAAAGTAGAGAACCGGTGAGTAGTGTAACAACCAAATGTTCTGCTGATTATTCTGATTTTGGGGTTAGTAAGACTAGCTCACTAATGCTTGAAGTTGTTGTGATGATTTACACACCAATATGTTGCATTTTAATTTGGGGAGTCAGAAGCAGTATAGCATTTCACTAACTTCAATACATGAAGTCTTTCAAGGCAACTGATCACACCAGGCTAAAAACTGTGAATGGCATTCATTGGCATTGTTTAACAAAAAAAGAGAGGAGAATCAAGTAATAAAACAATTTTGAAAAAATACAAATGATGTAGGGATGGTAATTCCAAAAAATACAGAAACAAGGTAGGGATGAATACACAAAACCATACAAAAATCCCCTACATAAGTAGCCACTGAGTCAATGTTACAAGCTTATGAGAATTAGCCATTGTAAGACTTTATAGCATGATTCAGTTTGAATGCTTTTAGTTAAAACTTGAATTCATGCAAGTGAAAGGAATTCATTATTTTATTAAACATGAAAGACTTTCTTGGAAAGATGTAGGGATTTTTGTATGGTTTTGTGTATTCATACATACCTTGTTTCTGTACTTTTGGTATTTTCATCCTTACATAATCCTATTTTTTTCAAAATTTGTTTTATTACTTGTATAACCTGTAAATTAAATTTTTGTTTATCCCTCAGATATTTAACTCCTGACAAAATTCTACATGTGGTAATACTCCTCTTTGTTAAACTCTCAGTTACATAGCCTGTGTGATAGCTCCACATGTGATGAGTACTCTTTGTTAAACACTCAGCAGGATTTGGCTCATTAGTGACAAAATAATAGCTTATTTTTTTTCTTCAGAAAAAAGTAATAGAATGTTCTAACATACTAGATAATAAAGTAGCATCTTATACTACTTGTTACATTTCTTTCATCTTCCCTAGCAAAACAATTGTTGTTACTTGTCCTTACTTATTTTAGTTATACATCTGAAAATCCATTTAAATTTGCATCAACAGATGTCTAAACGTTTTGTTGTATAACAAACAAATCAATCAATTATTGGATATTGTAAATAGTAATCATTACATTACATGCAACTGTATAACTATTCAAGTCTTTTAAGTTAATCTGATTGCACAGTGCCCAATTGGCCAGATAAAAATAAAACTGATTTCAGTGCCAATAAAGTTTATATGAAAACCACTCTTGTGGGATATTTTCTGGTCTTGGCCATTACTCAAAAGAGATATCATATTTAATGTAACAAATTTATCATTATATATTTATCTTAATATCAACGTTTATTTAGATTAAATTTATATTTAGAAACATGCATAACCTATACAGTTAAATATGTATTGCAAAACTCCCACCTATTCTCCAAAGTTGTAGAAGATTCTCGAGAGTAAAAATCAACAATGCGTGTATACGAAAATGTTTAAGTTTGTATTGTTACATAAAACTGAAATTTCTAGAATGCCTCCCCACACACATAAATATAACCAACGTGACGTGCCGAAAAAAAGAGAGTATCTATTATTAGTTCACTATAGTCAGTGTGCTATAAACTTTGGAAACTATAACTGTGATTATTGGAATGCTTATCAATTGGAAAATTTCAGATAATTGACCAGGATCCTTTACAAAGTTTGAACAAATCATTTAACTTCAGTGGATTCTCATCGGACATTAGTATTTTTACAAAAACATGAAATAAATTCATCGTGGAAAACTCGATGTGTGTGGCCGATAAATAAAGAAGGACAAAGCTAGCTAGCTTCCCGTTAAGCGAACTGTACCTACGTCAACTTGTAATTAACTCGCTCGTCGTGAACCCTCGATATGATATCGAAGAAATTCCAGATTAAAAGGAATACTTTATATTGCTTGTAAGTTTGGGAAACTTTTGTTTATAAATCATTGTTTTTAATAACTATTTGTAATAACTGTTATTGTAAATTGTATTGTTGTGTGTATATTAAAACGTATTTATGTTAAAAACGAAAACAGTGTGTATCAATCTTGTTGGCAAATATCATAAACTGACTATATATTAGCTTTTACTTAACTAATAAATCCAAAGTACAATTTAACTACTAAATTTAGATTATCAGTTAACGAATTTTAGGCTATTTGAAATTATAATATGTAACATAATAAATTGGGAGCTCGTGTCCAAGATCTGAATCAGAGACTAAATTTGATCTAAATTAAAATTTAAATCACAATTAAATTTATATTCATCAGTGCTAACAAGATTTGATCATATCTGATTATCAAGATTTTCTTGTATCACCCTCCCTAGAACAACTAGAAAAATATAACAAAATGAATTGGTCAAAATTGCCAAAATTTTAGAACTAGAAGTTAAAAGATCAATGAGAAAAAATGAACTAAAAAAGCATATTATCGAAATACTAGCTGATGATGATTTGTTGCCTGAGGAAGCATTAAGGAATATTCTAGTATCCCTACTAGCCAGTCTGGGTTTATTGATAAAGATAAATTACAGATCCAGCTAAAACTCAAACAACTTGAGCTTGAACAAGCTCGTATTGAAGCTGAAAGAGAAAATAAACGTCTCAAAGCCAAAAAAGAGAAAGAAAAAGCTCGTATTGAAGCTGAAAGAGAAAGAGCAAGCTTGTATTGAAGATGAAAGAGAAAATAAACATCTCGAGGCCAAAAAAAGCTCACATTGAAGCCAAAAAAGAAATTAGGCTGAAAGGAATGAAAATTAGACTCAACACTGATCGACTAAGGCAAAATGACAACTTTGAACTTAATTGATATGTTAAAGTACATTAAACAAATTCATCGGGGAAAACTCGACATGTGTGGCTGATAAATGACGAAGGACAAAGCTAGCTAGCTTCCTGTTAAGCGAATTGTACCTTCGTCAACTCGTAATTAACTCGCTCGTTGTGAACCCTCGATATGATATTGAAGAAGTTCCAGATTAAAGGGAAGACTTTATAGTGCTTGTAACTTTGTGAAACTTTTGTTTATAAATAATTGTTTGTAATAACTGTTATTGAAATTGTATTGTTGTGTGTATATTAAAACGTACTTGTGTTAACAATGAAAACTGTGTATCAATCTTATTGGCAAATATCATAACTAACTAATAAGTCCAAAGTACAATTTAACTACTAAATTTAAATTATCAGTTAACACAATTTTAGGCTAGTTGAAATTCTAATACGTAACATTAATGTGTCCTTTACATACTTTATTTGAATTTACTTTGGCTTTGAAAAAAGAAAAGAGTACTAATGTAGGTGTACAACAGAAAGAGAAGGTAACAAAACCAACTAATTTTTTGTGTGGAAAATAACTAATATTTTTATTCCCATTAAAAATCTAACACATTATAATACCTCATTATTTATAAAAGTAATATTATTACAATTGCATTGTTTGAATAATGTATTACCCTCAACCCTGACCATCAGTCATTTAACTTGTGAACAAAGTCCCCATGTGGTGTGTATTGTTTTCTTGTCTGTTTTGAAATGTATTATATGCTATTATATGTAAGAAAAACTTTGTAGTTTTAAACAGTATGAATAACATAATTTATATTTACCATTATTTACCAATATACTATTGTTTTAAAAAGAGAGAAATAATTTTCATGCTGAGACTGAAATGTATTTCTCACCAAAATTTCATTTATTTTGGAGAGATAATAGAGACCAGTAGACTCATCTGAGCTATCTCATTTTCTACCATCACTCATCTAAGCTCTACTTCAGTATTGTAGCTTATGCAACACCTAAAGGTAAACTCTTCCACAAACCAACCACCCTATTAGAAAAGTAACACTGCCTTAAGTGGAGTTGTGCTTCATAAGTTTATCACCTTTTTTTTTTACTAACCATAGGTGGATTAAATTTATGATTCATAAGGTGTATAGATAAATGCACTGTAGGGGAACTGAGGGTTTAACAATGGTTACTGCTCAGCACATGTGAAATCAGTTCACAAGTTACATTAAATGAGGGTTTAACAAAGCGTACTATATATATATATACACAACATCTGGAGTTAATTAACAAATTAGGTAACTAAGAATTTAACAAAAAATGTATTATGCACCACATGTTGTGTTGAGTTGGTTCAGGATTTCAGTAACTGAGGGCTGAGCAAAAGAGGACTGCACACAAAATGTAGTGCTGGTTCACAAGTTAGACAACTGAGGTTTACCAAAAAGAGTATTACCCTACATGGAGTTGGTTCAGAATTTAATGTACATTTCAAGCAATTCTCTCTAAACATGAAAATATGCTGATTAGTTTTACTTACAATCCACACACAGAAATTAATCAGCAAGTTTTCTGGAATGCCCTCATATCCACCATACAAGGTAAAGTTAAAATTTCTCCTCTGATAGTCATTACACTTTATGATGTGACTACCATTATTTTCCATTTGGTAATCTAATTCATCACCAGTGTGAAGATCATCTTTGAATGAGTATGTCTGAGGCTGAATCACCCTGGCCATTGTACTCTACAAAAAAAGAAAGATAAAAATCATTTAAAATTTCAATACAAAAAAAAGTACCATTAACAGCACAAGTTTATTTTATTCACTTTAAAGGTATTCACAATATGTCCAAGAATGTCAATCAATATATAATGCAAAACATTTGCTTGGATGGTCAGCACTGAACCAAGTGGCCAATCAACCTTATAAAAATGTTTGCTTGAGCATTGGATAGTCTTAAGTTTACCAAATGGCCAGTCAATGTAATGTAAAAGACACACTTTCATTTAAAAGTCAGAACTGGACTAGGTGTCCAATCAAACTAAAGTAAAGTATAATGCATAAGATGTTTACCTAAACAATTTTATACATAAAAAAACAAGCTGTTCATAAATGATGTTTGCACTTTTCTTTAATAAGAAACTTATCTTCTACGTTTGGATAGTTAATAGGATTATCAAAATCACTAAATTTTTCTATCTTTTTTTCTAGTAACTGATTTTCATCTTTAACTTATTCTTCCTTAAAAAATTACTAAATGTCAACATCCTAGTTCTAGTGTCAAAATTCTAAATCTTCTATATGGCAGAAAAGTGAAAGCTAAGTTGGATATGTTTGTTCACAATAATTGTTTTTCATAACATTAAACTGAAATTATGACACCCAAATACTCACCAAAAGTCTAACTGAGACTAACTAATATAACAAATGTATGAGAAACCAATTTTCACAATGAAAAGAAATAAAAAAATGTTATATAGTACTGAAAAAACTCAGTAATGGCAATACCTTTTACAGACATATATTTAATTTTACTGTGTTCCAATATCTAGGTACCTGTAATCATAATACTGATACTTTGATTCCCTTAGACACAGAAAAGGTGAAAGGAAGACTTAATGAACTATTTCCATAGAAAATTTTCAAGAAACCTGGAAAATTAGTACTCAGGTTAGTAAGATCATAAGGCTAGGTGACAGAAGTATATTCAGTTTATCGAGGTCATCCAACAGACACTAACTTAACTTGTATATAAACCTTCATATCTATAAAATCATCCAGGAAACATTTGCAGAAATTCAAACTCACAGCATAGACCACATTACCTGGCAAATCATTCCACAAGCTTACAAGATAAATAAAAAATTAATAATTTAAAAATCTGCAAATAGGGATCATAAAAAAAGTAAGGATACAAGACTGTAGATATTTACACAAACTACAAATCCCCTATTTTGGCTCCATGCTGTTACCTAGAATTACATTTGTTGAAGTCAAAATAGGGATTTGTAGTTTGAGTAAATAATGTCTACAGTATCTCTAGCCTTAGTTGCTTACATTTTTTTATAATAAACTATGGACAAAGGATTACATGATATAGTAGATAACTTTATACATTACAGTGATAATAAACATAGCTAGTAGCTATCTGATATGATTCATTATGATTTACTGTATCTATTAACTATTTGATCATGTTAGTTCAACATATAAAATGTTAAGTTGCAGCTGGAGATTGTCATGGAGAGTTTTTTTGATAATATAGCAAGCACTTATAGTTTCTGTGTCAATGAATTATATATATATATATATATATATATATATATACATATATATATATATATATAT